GAGGCCCCTCCCGGAGTCTGCACACCCCCAATGAGCGCCGTCGACGATAAATGTATGGATCGGGTTGCACGCCGCAGCGGGTACTATATGGTACCGTTCTATGTGTTGATTTTCTTTATATGTCTGTCACTTAACTGCTTATTTGTTGTAGCATTTCCATATTTCGTTTCCATTGGTTTATTGCTTTCATATTACTTGTTTAAAATGCCCAATTATAGATTACTCTATGTTTCTGCGTAATTTCTTATTCTCAGTCATTATTTATGCTTATTACTCACTTGGTCGGAGTACTCACATTACTCCCTGCACCTTGCGTGCAGATCCAAGTGCATCTGAGGCTGATTGAGGATTTTCAGTTGAGCAGCGCATATCTGGGAGCATCGAGGTAGCTACATGGCGTCCGCAGCCCTGATCTCTCCTTTCTATCCTTTTGTTTATCTGTATTCCCTAGATTGCTATGTATTAGGGTGATAAACTGGTATTAGAGGCTCAGACTTGTGACACCGGATCTATATGGGCTATGTAGTAGTAGTATTATCATTTGAAATTCTGCCTATTTAACTCTGGTTTCATACTTTTAATATGGTGTTTTGGTAATTTGATTGTATTAGCTAATAATGAACTATATAAGAAATGGGTTGAGGTTGTTAATTGGTCAGACTTGTCTAGCAGTGTGTTGGGCGCCATCACGACCGGGGTTAGGGTCGTGACAAGTTGGTATCAGAGCCTATGTTACATAGGTCTCGCAAGTCATGAGCCGGTTTAGTAGAGTCTCACGGATCAGTACGGAGACGTCTGTATTTATCCTAGAGAGGCTGCAGAACCTTTAGGAAAAACTTCATATTCTTGAAATTCTAGTCGTACGACTTTGTTGATCCGAGAACTAAACTTTTTTTATTCCATTTTCTCACAGATGGTGAGGACGCGAGCTATCGGATGAGGTGGACGACCACCAGTGCCACCCACTGAGGCCACCAGAGGCTGGGGACACGGTCGTAGACGTGGCAGAGGTAGAGCAGCGAGGGCAGCACATGTTGATCCCCCAGCTGGCCCGGCTCCAGATCAGGCTCCAGCAGCACCAGTTCAGGCACCAGCTGTGCCTATTGTGATCTCGGGTCTACATGAGGCCTTGGCACAGATCTTGACAGTCTGCACTAGCTTGGCTCAGGCAGTTTCAGCCACCCCAGCAGCAACAACTACTTCACAAGTCGGGGGAGGCAATCAGACCCCCGCTGCTCGCACACCTGAGCAGGTAATGCAGGGACTACAGACGCTGGAGGCACCTCTAGCTCAGCCGGTTGCACCAGTTCAGGAGTTCATGGTACCAGTTATGCCAGATGATGAGCAAAGTCGTCTTGAGAGGTTTGGTAGACTGCAACCTCTGTCATTCAGTGGTGCTGAGGGCGAGGATGCCCAATGTTTTCTTGACAAGTGTCAGCGGATGCTCCGTACAGCAGGGATCCTTGAGTCTAGTGGTGTAGCATTTAACACCTTTTAGTTTACCGGGGCTGCCTTTACTTGGTGGGAAAATTTTGAGAGGCATAGGCTTGTCGGTGCAGAACCCCTTTCTTGGTAGCAGTTCTTCGCTCTCTTCTTGGAGAAGTATGTACCGTAGTACCGCAGAGAGGAGCTACGTAGGTAGTTTGAGTGGTTGACGCAGGGGGGAATGACCGTGACCCATCATGAGATGAGATTTTCTAAGTTGGCTCGTCATGCCATTTGGATGATTCCGACAGATCGTGAGAGGATCAGGAGATTTGTGGATGGCCTTAACTACCATCTCCGTATTCTGATGACTAGAGAAAGAGTATTGGGTGTTGCTTTCGAGGAGGTGGTTGATATCGCTCATGAGATTGAGACGGTTCGCCGTAGGGAGCGAGAGGAGAGGGAGGCCAAGAGGCCTCGAGGATCGGGCAGTTACAATGGAGCTTCGTCGAGGGGCCAGTCTCAGCGTGGTAGAGGTCGTTCTTTCAGTCCTGCTCAGTCAGGCCGTCCAGAGTATCGTGGGGCATCTTCAGGTCATCAGGGGTCCCAGTAGGGCCAGCCTTTATTCAGCGCCCTCTCAGTTCAGAGTTCATCTCATACCCCATCAGCTCAGGGTTCTTCTACGCCGAGTGCATCTTCTAGTCACTCCGGTGCGAGGGGTTCCCTTCAATCCCCATCTTCAGTACCGGATAGTTGTTATGAGTGCAGAGAGTTTGGACATATGAGGACGCAGTGCCCTCGACTTTGTGATGGTTAGTTTCAGCAGAAGGGTCAGCCCTCAACTTCTGCTCCAGTTACTTCACCACCCGCCCAGCCAGCTAGGGGTGAGGTTCAGGCAGCCAGGGGTTGCCCCAGAGGGGGAGGTCGATCAGGTGGTGGCCAGACTCGTTTCTATGCACTTCCCGGCAGGCCAAATGTCATTGCTTCAGATGCTGTCATTACAAGTATTGTTTCAGTCTGCCACAGAGATGCCTCTGTATTATTTGATCCCGGTTCCACCTTTTCTTATGTGTCATCATATTTTGCTTGTTATTTGGGTACGCCCCGTGAGTTTCTTGCTTTACATGTTCATGTGTCTACCCTGGTGGGCGATACTATTATTGTGGACCATGTGTACCAGTGATGTGTTGAGACTATTGAGGGTCTGGAGACCCGAGTTGATCTATTGCTATTGAGCATGGTGGACTTTGATGTTATTTTAGGCATGAATTGGTTATCTCCGTGTCATGCTATTCTAGACTGTCATGCTAAGAAAATCACTTTGGATATGCCAGGTGTACCACGAATCGAGTGGCGTGGTGTGACTAATTATGTTCCTAGTAGGGTGATATCTTTCTTGAAGGCCCAGCATATGGTTGGGAAGGGTTGCCTTTCATATTTAGCGTTTGTGAGGGATGTGGGAGCTGAGACTCCTAGCATTGATTTTGTTCCAGTGTTGAGGGATTTTCTCGATGTGTTTCCTGCAGACCTACCGGGCATGCCACCAGACAGGGATATTGATTTTGGTATTGACCTGGTGCTGGGGACTAAACCTATTTCTATTCCGCTGTATCGTATGGCACCGATAGAGTTGAAAGAATTGAAAGAACAGCTTCAGGAACTCCTAGATAAGGGGTTCATTCGGCCTAGTGTGTCATCTT